GATGGTTGCTGCTTATTTCTCTCGGTGTACAGCAGGTGTAAAACCCTTGGATTTTCCCCAAGGGAGTCACAAGCTGGTTTATGGTAAATAATCCAGCACAGTTACATACAAATGCATTTTTAAAAAGCATTAATCAATAAATACATTTTCAGTAAAAAAAAAAGTAAATTGTTTTTACGTTCTCCCAGTGTGTTCGAGAGGCGGTTTGTAGAACTAAGATTTGCGCATAGGTTTTGCTGTTATGTAGAACAGGTGTTTCCTAAACCCTTTTTAGAAGGAGTGGGGGAGAAAATTGTCTCAAATTTCTTGGCACTGGCTTCAGATTTTCAGGAGTCAGCATTAGATGTGTAGGTGTCAAGTCTTGTAAAATATAGTACTTAAAAAACCCAAAAAGCAGATTACCAGGCACCACAAGTGTAAAAATTTAGGAGCAGAGGCCCACTTTTGGAAATATACGAGAAGACTGTTAAAGAATAGGTACAATGTTTGTCATCCCCTGGAATCTGCTGGTGGACTCAGCTTCCAGCAGATACAGAAAACAGCTGTCATGGAGCCAATTTTTGCATCTAGTAAAACTTATCCAGCACAAAGATAGTTGTTAGTAAATGTGCTTTGGGCAGGAACATTACTTGAATCTTTGCAAATACATTCCCCCCAGGGAGTCACACACACCAGTTAGTACAAGGAGCATTGTTTTGAGGCTTTTATTGTTTTTAGTTGTTTAGTTGATCTCAGCAGCTATACATCCATCTGTTTAAGAAGCGATTGTATTGTTCTCAGATGCTCCACAATGATTTTTCCATTCTCAATTTTGTTACATCATCAACCAATGTATAGTTTTAAAATTCACCTCCAGTTGTAATTAGAAAATAGAAACTTGCCCATATAGTTTAGATATATGCCAATCATCATCCTGTCAGTTTTAGTTGGGGATTGACCATCTTTATAATATTGCTGAGTATTCGTGTTCCTCCCAGCCAATTAAGCATTTCCCCCCCGTTAACCTTTTTGCTTTTATTTGTGTTTTGAATTGTCTATAGCTTCCATAGGAGACTTTCCTCCAAAAATTTGAAGTAGCTTTTGAGGCTTTTATTTCCACTGTGTATTACTTAAAAAGCACAGCAATCCAAGGTGAAAATGTTGATGGGTTAATTCTCCACAAACAGGTTTGTAAGTGAATGCACAGGTTGGGTAAGATCTTTTACGTATTTCCTGCCTTCTAGCTATGGCAAGTAGGTTCTTAAATACGATTTTATTGGTTTTACTAAGCTTTGTGTGTCAAGGTTCTGTGACCTGTAGTGAATAGGTGTACTAATTTTAAAGCATTAAGAGTTAGAAAAAAGCTAAATAAAGCTTTGTATCAGTAACACAGGGATCGTCTGCTTTATCAGAACTTTCTAAGAGCTCCTGAATTGACTGTCTCTCTCACTTTCTTTTTTAAATAGGTATTTGGAAGAGCAAAAAGCTGAGAATGGGAAAGACAAAGAGCAGAAACTGTCGAACATGGAAAAAGAAAAAATGAAAGAGAAGGGAATTTTCTCTGACCTGGGATTAGCAGATGGTAAAACAAAAACAGATCCGTATGCCTCCAAAGCTGATACAGAAAAGCTGTATCGTGGAAGTCAGTCCCCAAAGCGCTATAAGCTCCGAGATGATTTTGAAAAGAAAATAGCAGAGTTCCACAAGGAGAGCCACTATGGCAAAGAGGAGGCAGATGAGCCCGAGAAGAAGGTTAAAGGCAAAGGGCGAAAGGAATCCAATTTTGATGAGGATGAGGACGATGAGCCGAAGTTTCTGTCCAAGACGTTGTCTGCTTCCAATAAAAACCAGGAGGAAGATCGATCAGGCAAATGGGAAGGCCTAGTATTTTTGCCTGGAGCCAAAGAGAAGCAGAGGAAAGCTGAGGAGGTGGAGGAGGAGTCCTATGCGGAGCAGACCAAGAAGGAAGAGAGGCAGGTTGCCAAGAGAGCAGAAGCTGGGCACAGAGGCTTTGTTCCAGAGAAGAATTTCCGAGTTACCACTTACAAAGCCAGCCAGGAAAAGAATGCTACATCTCCTCCTCCACGAAAGACTTCAGAGAGCAGAGAGAAGCTGGGCACACGGGGAGAGGGCCTGGCCACTGGCAAGTCTTCCTTTTCCATCACTCGTGAGACCCAAGTCAACCTCCGAATGGATTCTTTTGATGAGGATCTTGCACGGTGAGAGGCTCAGTGTGTCTGCCCCACAGTTGGAATAAAGGGTTAGGGGAAAGTTAAATGGGAATATTGCTCTGTACTGTGTACAGCAGTTCTCCAAAGAGAGTAAGCAAGCAGCCTAGTCTGCTCACTGGTTTTTATTATTTGGAACATATGGGTGGATAACAGAGCCCAGAGACTCTCTTTTTTAATGTCAATGTGCCAGAGTTTCTCACTTGCCATGGCTGCATATGAGTAAGCATCATGCTGGTGTATGCTTCCCATTAGGTCCAAGCCAAAGAGCATGGTTTGCTCCTCCCTAGCAAGCCACAGTCTGTAAGCCAACAACAAACGATGTCTTAAGGTTGGCTAGCAATCATGACTCCTTAGGGAACAACAAACCACAATCCTGGGTTCAAATGTAACAGGAAGCCAAAGCTTCATGGTTTGTTTCTCCTTCTCAAGCTAACAGAGAAGCAAAGCGGGAGGCATCTGGCAGCACGTACCAGCACACTGCTTATTCACAATAAACCACAATATGCCAGAAACACCAGTTTATCATTATGCAAATGCAGCTATTGCCTAATGCCAATTTTTTTTTGGCAGTGGAGTGACAGGGAGAACCAGAGCATATGTCTCTGTAAAGGACCAAAAAGAAGAGCAGATCACAAAAAGCTTGCAAAAATGGGGTGCTAGTCAAGGGGTGATATTCAGCTGCATTTTATTCAGAATAGACCCATTGAACTTTAAGTTACGTCCATGCATTTGAGTCAAACTTAGTTGAATACCACTCTAGCTTTCAGGTAGAACAAGCCATATAACTACTACTACTACTACTAATTTTGTTATTTGTACCCAGCCACTCTGCACCTCCTTTCTGTTCTGAGCAGATGGGAGGGTGGATGTCCAGTCCTGACATCCGTTGAAATGTGGCCATATTTAAAGACATGTGCTCAGAGGCTGAGCCTGTGAAACACAAACTTGAGCAAGAACAGCTAACAGTCTCTTGTGTATTGTGGTTTTTTCAAAGGATATTTGCTGAGAGCTTTCATGGGTACCATAGGAGGTACGGATTAGCACACTGGCATGTATGGAGACCATGTTACCAACCCTTGCCCTAATTAATAAAGTCCAAGGGTCACCTGGAGCAGGCGAGCCAATCTACAGCAGAAAACAGCCCACCACCTTCCCAAGCCCTAAATACACTTTTGAAGCCTGAGCAAAAGACATCTGAAAGGACACTTTGTTGGGCACAACTTCATGGTGCACATCATCACTCCTGCTGATAGCCATGGTAGTCCCGATGCCTGTAGAGAAATAATGCAGGGATGGACAGAGGAACATATGTGAACCTGCAAATAAAGCCTTGGAATAGAGAGTTGTATCCAACTTAATTATACTCAGAGTAGACCCATTTGAAATTAATAGGCCTAAGTTATGTCTAGTGTTTTCAGTGCATCTACTCTTGAGTAAATCATTGCTCCTAAATTGATCATGAAGTGCCTTCAGTGACAAGTCTTTGAACTGAACATGTTGTTTCCAGGCCAACTGTTTGTTCACTGGCCTCCCCACAAATGAATTCAAACAATCTTGTCCCCCATAATCCAGAGAGTTGGTGCGCAGCAAAAAAGAAAAAGGTGCTTGACAATGGAAGTGGAACACAGCTAATAAACTTGCATAGTTAGACAGTGGTGTATTTTATTCCTCATACTGTTGGCTGTTGCTATTGATTTACTTAACATTTATACAAAGGCAAGTGTCTTGTGGCATTGTAGAGACTAACAATTTTTTTGCTGATAGGAGCTTCTGTGGACTGAACTCTGTCCATCCAGGCCAAAGTGTACAGAACCTGCTTCATCTCAAGAGTTCCTTGGGCCACCACCCTCTTTCTTAGTTGCTCAGCTGCCACGGTACAGTGGAACCTCAGTTGTTAAATGTAATCTGTTCTGGAAGACCATTCAACATCTGAAACGTTCGACAACCGAGGCACAATGGGTGGCCAGCAAAATCCATTGAAAAAAGGGAGACACGTGCCCCAGAAGCCGTTTGACTTCTGAGGTGTGTTTGAAAACAGAAGCATTCACTTCTGGGTTGTCGGCATTTGAAAAGCCGAAACGTTCGACTTCCGAAGCGTTTGACAACCAAGGTTCCAATGTACCTTCTTGTTTTGTTCACTATGCCAGACAAACAAAACCACCTCTCTGGAAGTAGTTGCTTTTGGAGGTCATAACAATTAATGAGCATATCTTTGTGCGTTTCCCCACCAGCCCAAGCGGGATTTTGGCACAGGAGCGCAAACTGTGCCGTGATCTGGTGCACAGCAACAAAAAGGAGCAGGAGTTTCGCTCCATTTTCCATCACATCCAGTCCGCCCAGTCTCAGCGGAGTCCCTCGGAGCTCTTTGCTCAGCATATTGTGACCATTGTTCACCATGTGAAAGGTGAGTTGCATTTGAGACTGGTGTTAGTTTATTTATTGCTTTAAAACATTTCCATCCCACCCTTTATCGTACAGAATGATCCCAGAGTGGGTTACAACTGCCAATAAAATACTGAACAAACAGTGAAATGCAGATCACGGAACAAATTCTAAAAATATAAAACTTTTGCCAAAGTGTTGCTTAAGGAAAATACGGTTACTCCTGGAGCTGTCCTCTTGCTGTAGATCCATAGAAGGAAGGAGAAGACACTATGCAATCCTGCTTGTTTCGCTGGAGCTCTCCCCTCCCCCCGCCCCCTGATGAAGCTTATTCACTCTTGATTAGTGCTTCATCTTGCAGTTGGGAAGAGTGAGAAATCTATTTTAAAAATTCTTGTCTCCATTTCACCTCTTTGTTTTATTTTCATTTTGGTCCTTCTGAGCTGTTCTGGTTTATGTGGGCTAAGTGACTAATTGGCAGCCCCCTTCATTTTCTCTTTCCCCTGGTTACACTACCGATAGGGGCATGGTAAAAGTTTTATCTACAGCTTTACTCATAAGGGAAAGAAAAGTTTTAAAGTAAGAGTTCACAACTGAATGCCCAAATTCTTTCTTTGGGTTTTTACATACAATGCTTCAGCTGTGCTTGAAAACATGTGATTGGAAACTTCAAGTGGCACCAACAGTATCAGTGTATGTGGAAAAAATAGACATTCTTCCCTGACAAGTTCTCTGTTGGAGAAGTTGAGCTTAATTAACAGTATGGAGTTTCTCAGCAAAAAGGGCAGCATGTGGTGTGTGCATTCCTATCCATTTAGTGTCCATCTCTTCTCCCAAGCAGTCTGCTTTACCTGAATATCTAAAAGCAGGATGGATATTTGAAATGGGGATAAAGTACTAAGGTACCCTTTTGATATTCCGTAGACTCCTAGCCACCTGATACTTCCCCTCCCTCCGAAAAAATTAGATGGATACCCAGCCAGGGAAGATGACAATAAAAAGACTGTGTCTCAACTTTGAACATTGGACTATGATATAAAAAATTGTGGAAGATTGCAATAGCAGAAAAAATAACCCATCTAATCCACATGTGGAAGAGAAAAGAAAAATCTGACTCCTTTCATGATATTTGGCAAAACATTATTACTTGCACAAGTTGGACTATCATGAATATGGTCCCTCTCCAGCCAATCTTCAGATTTGGAAATCAGGATCAGTTGACACTATGGTTGCAGTAAGACTGTCACTGTAGGTTTTCCTGTACAAAAAGATAAAGGAAAGTATGTATGTTAACAATCTGCTCAAGCTTGTAATGCTTTGCTCATCTTCATATGATGTCAGCCTTGTATTGGATCTTACATTTGAGACTTCCCTGGTGTTTTAATTATTCTTATATGAGTAAAGGCAATTTCTTTCAAAAGTCTGAACTGCTTAACCTGCAGACAGATGGATCCGTTTCCTTCTCTCTTTTCTCCTGCCCTTCACCTTTATGTTGTTTGCTTCCTGAATCTGTTTCAGACCCTCCTGCAGAAGCCACTTTTATATTGTCCTAAAGTATAGATGCAATGTTAATGATGTGATATTTCCTCACTGCATATCAACAGAGCATCATTTTGGGTCTTCGGGAATGACATTGAATGAGCGCTTTACAAAATACCTAAAACGAGCGGAGCAAGAGTCTGCTAAGAACAAAAGCCCTGAAATCCACAGGTGAGTGCACCTTTGCATGTAATAAAGGCAAGGTTTGGGGAGAAAATGTGCACCCTTACCACAAAGAGTCCTCAAATGAATAGGCTTTGGCATAACTCAGCAGCACAAAAGCAGGCAAACTACTAGACAAATCAGACTACTATCTGCCAAGTGTAGAGTTTTGACATGTACTTTTAAAATCCCGATTTAAGAGACTTTTTGAATCGTAGCCATTAAGCAGCATAAAGGCTTGCATTCAGCTACTAGGCATTTGCTTGCTTATCATAAGCAAGCGCTTCTCATCCAAGGCAAACTCTGCCTTGCCCTACCACTGTCTTGGGTGCCTATCCAGGAGAGAAAAAGGACTTTGATTCAAGCATATCGAATCCACAACAAGAATAAAGTACAGAAATCAATAATTTGCTCCTCATGGTGAGGCAAGGACATTAGAGACCCAGTCCTTACAACTGAAACTCTTAAGCAGCCATTTTTCTGACCTTCAGCAGGTGATGCCCACATAATTCAGCCATACTTTCTGATGGCTAGAAGCTTCCTTTTTTAAAAGGAAGCGAGTGGAGACTGAATTCTGAACCTTTTATCCATTGGAGGTTCATTCATTAGAGTGAATGGAGCACTGGCTAACCAACCTCAGTCTGCTCTCAGCCAGCTCTGACCTGCCTGCTTTCCTCTCATTTACAGCTAGTCCAGGGGGTTGCCCTGCCTGTCAGCATCCTCCTCCTAAGTCTCTGTGTTGCCCCTTGCAGAACACAGTGAGGTGGATGAGGACAAAGTTAGAATAAATTGTCTCTCCCTGTCCTTGGCTCTGGCTCTACCTACTGTTTTGTCTCCCTGCCTTCTGCCCTCCTGGCCCCAATGGACACCAGCCACTGCTGTTGCTATCAGAGTCTGCACGAATAAGTATGGCTTTCAGAGCAAGAAAGAGATAAACAACTCTTCATTGTATCCATAACTCTTTAAGGTGCCTTAAGGTCCTGTATTGTTTATCTTTGAACAAGTCTCTGTCGTAGCTGAGGCTTACCAGCATCAACTTGCCCAAGGCCACTAGGGAGTCTCGTGATGGAACAGGAGATTGAATGTTCTATCCACAAGTCAATTCAGCCCTGAAGTTTTATGTCTGTCATGTGCCATTCCTTACACTATAGAACTAAGGCCTAATTTATACATTCCCTGAATGCAAAAGGGAAGGGCCTTTTCCTTGACCTTTTCTTAATCATGCACGCTCTTTTTTTCTTTTCTTTTTTAGGAGGATAGACATTTCTCCCAGTTCCTTTAGAAAACATGGATTCTCGCAAGAGGAAATCAAAAGTTCCAAAGAATCCAGCTACAAGGTGACCTGTTGCTTTGATCTGTAGTGAAACAAAATGTGTGCACTTCGGGCATGAACTTGTTTTTTATAATAAAAAAGTGATATTTTTGTTTAACTTGCTCTCTACTTAAGTTTGTGTTTTTCTTTCAAGGATGGGCATAATTCTAAAAATGAACTACAAAGGGTTAATTTTTATTAAAAAAAAATGTATCAACAACCTTTGTGAAGTGGTTAGAAATATGGTAAATGACCCCAAAGTCAATTGAGGTTGAGCTTGAGACAAAAAAAATGGAATTTTGGAAACAAGTGACCTTGATGATGGAAGACTTTTTGTGATATTTTGCTGCTTGTAAGTATGACTAAATCACTTGTCTTACCCGTGATATTTCCAACCATGTTTTCAAAAAGACGTGCATGTCAGGAAGAGAGGAAAGTAAATCAAATCCATATCTGAACCAAGCACACAGATATTTTTTCTGCTAATGTGTTTTCTGTTGACTGCCACTAGTTTATTTTAAAATGCTGCTCAGAATTAAAAACACTCTCCTGGGGGTCTTTAAAACTATTACGGGCAGCGAAACAATTATATGCCCCTAATTTTAAAGGGAAAAAAATGACCATCTTGAGTTGAAGCATTGTCTGTTCACTTTCATACACGTTTGTCTTAATGGTTTTTAGCAATGCTGTTGAAGGGTTTGCTTTCATGTCATACCTGTGTTCTCAGTTTCTCCAAACACACTTGTCACGTTTGAAAGATATTCGACTGCTGGATTTGATCTCTCTCTACCACACCATCCGACAGTGAACATGCTTGTGTGTGTGAATAGACACATACTTCAGGTTTACAAACAGTCAGGAGCTCCTTAGACGACTTCTTTATGAAATGGAACTACACAAATGGCTACAACAACTGATCTAGGTTCTGCTGGTGAATGACATTTGATGGTGAAACAAGTTTCCATTCTGGCAATGACAGATCGGCTTTGTTTTATGAGTTGAAAAGAGAGTTCTCCTTCACTTATGGAAGGCAAAAGAACAAATACAGCTCCTACATTCAGCCATGCCAGCTTCTTTATTTTAATCAAAAAGTAGGCTAGAAGCTTGTGTAAGTAAAGTACTTAATAGAGAGCTGCTACCCATTCTTTTTGAGTTGAGGCGAAACTGATGCTCCCACTTTTCCCTGCCCTAGTTATTCCAAAGTCTTGTGCTGGACTGAAAGTTACCAAGTTGAAACAAGAAGCTCCACTGATTGACTGTTTCAATAAAAATCAAAGAGATCTGTAACAATTCAGAAATGACTTTGATCCTACTGCTGTTGACTGAAGATTTTTGTTTGCCCATAGAATTTAATCTTCTCACCACTTTCTCCTGTTCTTAGCCATTTCTTCCCAGATGTGCCACTTAAAGTATCCTAAATAAGGACAGGGATGATGAAATAGTGGGATGAGACATACCTGTGTCTTTTTTGTGTTTTGTTCATGGGAATCTCATTCCATAAAGTGATCTCCAAGGATATCTTAACTTTTCCAACTACAGCTCCAAGCACACTGTTGATGCTGAATAAATGTTTGCTGTTTATAAGTATTGCTCAGAATAAGTAATATAGATACATTTATCTTGCACAACGTGTTCTGCTCTCAAAGTTCAAGTTCCCCCAAAATTCAGGATCTTCTTGGCAATGGAGACAGGGAAGGGTGTGTGGAGACTGGATTGTAGCTGAATGGTAGAAGCAGAAAGTTCTGTTTTGCAGGGGGTGGGAGTGTGCAGTGAGCACAGCAGTGCAGAACACCTAAGTTTTAACTCTTGTCCCCTAGAAGCCAAGCCAAGCTTGGCTACATTTGGTTGCTGAGTCTTCAGCAGCAGGTGTATGTTCAAATCTTTTTTCTGCCATCGTAAGTGTGAGAAACACGATGCCTCGTTTTTGTGCTTACGGTGCACAACTCTGAATTTGAGAGGTTATGCTGATTGAGAGCAAACTATGCAGCAGCCCCTTCAAGGCTCGTTATGGATCTCTCAACAGCCAGTGGTGATTGGAGGGGGGAGCACACTCGGGAAGCCTGCCTCCCCAAATAACTCCTTCATTGGTTCTCTGGAATGTAGAGAATTGGCTCTATTATGATACTGGAGCTTAGACGGCCTGCACATTTCCCCTTCACTTTCCATAACTGCAGCCAATGTCTCCTGCAGTGAGAGGAGGGGGCGTCCCTTTCCAGGCACAGGGAAGGAATTCTGTTGTTCAGTCAATTCCCTGTAGAGCACAAGAATCTGTCAGAAGAGGAGAACACAGTTCTTAGCTTTGGCATATACAGATCATTGCCCCTTGAGCCTGTTGTTTTTCCTTTGGACATCAAAGGGTCTTGGCTTTGGCACCCAGTTTTCCTCCCTTGATTTGATTAATAATTACTTACGTTTGGCATAGAGAGAAGTGGATGCAGAAAGATTGAAATCTTTTGCGTGGATCTTGTGAAGTCATTCAGTCTGTGTATTAGCACCAGCATAACTTCCCTTGCTTGAGTATTTTTCAGTCCTGAGCAAGGTAAAAAGGGATGTAGTTGTGAAGGAATTGCTTAAGGCCCAGGTGTCAAGTCTTTCCCCTGTTTTTCTCTTTGCAGGCCGAAAGCAAATACAAAGAGGACCCAGTTGACCTGCGCCTTGACATTGAACGGCGTAAAAAACATAAGGAGAAAGATAAGCGAGGCAAGTCGAGGGAATCAGTGGACTCCAGACCCTCAAGCCATTCACGAGAGAGATCAACGGAGAAAACGGAGAGGTCTCATAAAGGGTCCAAAAAGAAGTATGTAGGAGGAGAACATTCTCCACTTCTTCTTCCTTCTTTCCTTCCCTTTTATTTTAGATGCCACACACAAGAGTGATAGTGAGCTGACATAATGAAACCCCACATGGAAGAAGCTAGCAGGGAAACATTTTCAGCCCAAGGGCTGCATTTCCTCAAGAGGAACCTCCCCAGGAGGTGCATGCCAGGGTGGGTGGGGCAGTGGATGCTCAAGATATGTTCCAGAGGTTTCTACAGTCCCACGTGCAGTTATCCAGCCTTGCATCCAAGCAAGTAAGAGGTGCTACCACAGTTCAAGGTGCTACCACAGTTCAAGGAGACTTCCCAACCAGGCACAAACACTGAGTGCAAGGTGCAGAGCAGAACCAGTATGGGGTGTGGCCTTGTAAAAGTCCCAAGGGCCAGATAGTGAACCCTGGAGTTTCCCCTTCAGCCCCTGAGCCTGAGG